CATGGAATACCTGTATCAATAGTGTCGGATAGAGACCTACGATTTACTTCAAGGTTCTTGAAGTCGTTGCATATGGCATTGGGTACTCGATTGAACTTCAACACAGCTTTCCATCTACAGACAGATGGGCAGTCAGAGCAAGCCATTTAAATACTAGAGGATATGCTAAGGGCACATGTGATTGATTTTAAGGGATCATGGGATAAGTATTTGCCGTTAGCTGAATTTGCGTACAATAATAGTTATCAATTGAGTATTAAGATGGCCCCGTATGAAGCTCTATATGGCAGAAAATGTAGAACACTGTTAAATTAGTTTGAATTGAAAGATCGAGATCTGATAGGGCCCGATTTGATGAAAGATATGGAAGATAAAGTGAAAATGATCCACTACAATCTAAAGATAGCCTCAGATTGTCAGAAGTCATACGCGGATTTGAAAAGGAAAAGAATTATAGTATCAAGTGAGATACAAAGGGTTGGACCCGTGGCTTATTAGATTGTCAAAAGTCATACGCGGATTCGAAGAAGGTATTACGTTTTGGGCGTAAAGGGAAATTGAGTCCGAGATTTATTGGACCGTATTAGATATTGAAAAAGGTTGGACCCGTGGCTTATCAGTTAGCTTTTCCTCCAGATATGGACAAGATCCACAATGTTTTCTATGTATCGCTGCTGAGGAGACACATATCAGATCCCTCACATGTTATTACTCCTGAAGAGATAGAAATCTGACCAGATTTAACTTATGAAGAAGAACAGGTGAGGATATTGGCTAAGGAAACCAACGAATAGCATAACAAGAGGATTATGTTAGTCAAAGTGTTTTGGACAAATCATAAGGTGGAAGAGGCAAACTGGGAAAGAGAAGAGGATATGAAAAAGAAGTTTCAACATCTCTTTTCTTCATATACTTCTTTAAAATTTGAGAACGAATTTTATTAAGGGGAGAATTATAATACCCTAAATACTGATATAGGGACTATATTGAAAGGATTCAAAAATATTAGGATTTATTCTATTAATGAAAGATGAGAATGGTCAGGATTAATGATTAAGACTAAATTGTGACTATGGATTAGTAAGAGGGCATTTTGGTCTTTTATATGAAAGAGAATTTAAGTGTATTTTAAAATTGGTATTAAAGATAAGGGAAAACGAGATTAGGTTGCAAAAAGTTTCTTTCTTCTTCTTATTCTTCTTTCCCTGTAGAAGAGTTCCCTAATAACCTCAAAGGTAAGTTTTCAATTTAATGGTTTATTCCTTCAATTTTTGCTAGTTATTGAATCCTTGTATATGATAGAAGCTTAATGAAGGTTTAGATGGGATTAAAACAAGGAGATAAGGGAACTGAAAGAGATTTTAAAAAAATGGGTTTTATAATGATATGTTAATATATAAAGGTTTATTAATGTTTGTTGGTAAAATTGACTTGTCAATAAGGTAAATGAAAGATTAAAAGCATTGGTTGAGTGAAATAACAAGTTATAAATTGTGGTGTGATTCTTATAATCAAATTCTCTTAAGAAATATTAAATATTTTAAGTGTCTAAATGAAGGAAAGTTTGTAGGGTTAAGTAAAGAAGTGATATATAGTATTGTCAGGGGTAAATGAGAGGAAAATTGGCCAAAGTTGGGTAAATTTTGGGTTAAAAACTAGAAAATATGGGCAGGGGTATCGGTACTGATATAATGGTAGCGATACCATAGGCAAAAATTGGGTTGAATTATATGAGAAGTATTGATACTGATTCAAACAGTATCGGTACCAAGCGATGTAGTATTGATACCATGGTAAGGGTATCGATACCAGGAAACATCGAACTTAATTTTGGTATCGATACCAAAGGGGGTATCGATACCATAGTATAGTAGTATCGATACCATGGTAAGGGTATCGATACCAGGCTACATCGAAGCTAATTTTTGCATCGATACTGGAAGGAGGTATCGACACCATAGTAGGGTAGTATCGATACCATAGTAGGGGTATCGATACTGAAGAGTCATAAATTTTAAGTTGGGTTGATATTGCTGTAGAAAGTTAATAATAAATATTTTTATTATGTTAAGTTATAAATTGTTAGGAAACACACTAACAATTGATATTATGCATGTATTTAATGAATGTAGAATAGCTCGAAATCAAGCTCCTGAGTCGAATAAGTTGAAAGGCAAGGGCCAAGTTCCAGAGTAATTATCTTCTCATTCTGGATATCTAAGTAAGGCGAGCCAGGTGAGTACATTTTATTGTATGCAATCTAGATGAAAATGATTAAGAATTATTTAATATGAATTGTTTAATTGTTAATATATGTTTTACTGTAATTACTATGTTTTATTGAATATATGGAAATGATATTGTGTATGAGTTCGACTATGAAAATACTAATGCATATGGGTGCATTATTGGCATGAAAGGATGCCATAGTTGAAATGTATATGGGTATATTATCAACAGAAAAGTATACTATGGTTGAAATGTATATGGGTACATTATCAATAGAAAAATATGCTTGAGTTGAAATGCATATGGGTGCATTATCAACAGAAATGTATGCTAGAGTTGAAATGCATATGGGTGCATTATCAACAGAAGATCATGCTAGAGTTGAAATGTATATGGATAGATTATCAACAGAACGGTATACTATGGTTGAAATGTATATGGGTACATTATCAGTAGAAAAGTATACTATAGTTGAAATGAATATGGGTGCATTATCAATAGAAAAGATGTTAGAATTTTAAGAGCCTAAAGGTTTATTAAAAAACATAAATGGAGGTTACAAATGAAAAGAAAGAAATCATGATAAATGATTATGAGAAATGGGGAATAAAATATGTATGGATACACAAAAAGGTTATTAATTATATTATGACTCACTAAGATATACTTAACTTGTGTATTTCCACGCGTAGGTAGCAATAAAAGTAATCAAGTAAGGAGTAAAGACGTAGCAGCAGATATCATTCACCAAGGTTGACTCACCAGTAACAACAGGACGGTAGTAATCCTTTTCTAAACTTGTTGGCATGTAATTAAATGTAACATTACATTTTATAATGTGTTTTGATGAATACTTATTTATTATGTTTATTTATGTGAAAATTAAGTTTGTAACAAAACTTTAAAGAATTTACGAAATTAGTAGTTTGTTTTAAAACTAATGTGACACTTGTATGCGAATACGAAAACGCATATATGTATATGGGTGTTACATTTCCTCTCCATATGTTCCTATACATAAACATCAAAAATATCAATGCCATTACTTTCAACATTATCATCCATATTAGAAATATTTTTCAGGATATTGAAAGTGATATATTCATCATTTAAACGTATAATAGGTTCTCCATTTTCAACATCGATAAGAGCTCGTCCTGTAGTAAGGAAAGGTCGGTAAAGAATGATTTGATCATCCTTTTCGGGTTCACAATCCAATATGATGAAGTCTGTAGGGAAAATGAATTTTTCCACTCATACAAGTTTGTTTCCTACAATGCCACTAAGATGCCCTATGTATATGATCGACAAGTTGTAAAATCACAGTTATTGACCTTGTTTCTCCACTTCCAAACTTCCTAGAAATTGACAAGGCAGAAGGTTAATGTTGGCACCTAAATCTCATAAAGCTTATCATACAAATTGATCACCAATAGTACAAGAAATAGTAAAAATCCTTGGATCTTTGAGTTTCAGCGGTAATATACTTGTAGCCATGGCGCTACAGACTTTGGTAAGGGCTACAATCTTAAACTCACCAAGCCTTCTTTTCTTGGAAAGAACTTCTCGTATGAACTTGATATAGTTTAGGATTTGTTCCAAAGCATCTATCAATGAAATGTTGATTGTCAATTGTTAAAGTACATCAATGAACGCCTTGAATTGTTGATCCTCCCTGGTTTTCTTGAATCTTTTTGAAAATGGTGGTGGAGGTCTTGGATTTGATTGATTTGGCACTGGTTGTGGCATCAAAGGTGTGACAAGAGGTATTGTCTGTGGTGATGCTATTGGAATTGATCCAGAACTATTGTTTTATCCAGCATCCTTTGTTATAATATCTGTAATAAATGCATCTTGTGCTACATGTTTATCATTTGCTTGCTAGTACCTCTTCTCATCGTCTTTTTTCTTACTGTCAGTAGAGGGTTTCCCAAAGATAAATCACATTTTGATTTTTGATGGCCTTACAATGCTCATTACAATGTGTCTGCCCCATGAGCCTTGGGAATTTTGATATCGCTAGGCAGCGTCTCTAGCTGACTATTGCTTAAAGCATTGGCCAGCTGGCCAACTTAGTTCGCTAATGCTCTCAATGATGTTGATTGGCTTGCTATATATTCCTTCATTAATGCTTCTAGAAAAGTTAGAGTTGAGTTTGATTAGAAATCTACCCTTGATAATTTTATCTTTGTTGACATTGCATTATTTGTTGATGTTGTGGCATCATCGGTTTCTGATTGTAATGTTACTATTGATTGCCAAAATTGGATTGCACAATAATTGGATTAGAAACGTTTTGGCTTATCCACAACAAGTTAGGATGATTGCAGTAGTTGGAATTGTATGAGTTCCCATAATGGTTGGCATTATCACCCATATTAAAATTCATCACAAAGCAAAGAGATTCATGGTTTTGTGGACATTCTTCATAATTATATGCATCACCACAATAAACACGAGATGGGATAGAATCAACTTTTACCTCATACATGCCTTTTTCCCTTTGTAATTTCTTTACCACATCTGTCAATGTTGTAATTTTTGAAGCCATGGAGTTTAACGCATCAATGTCTATTGCTGCAACATTGTGTATGCCAAACATGTTCCTCGTATTGGGGAATTGGTAGTCATTATTGGAAATCTTCTTCAACATACCACATGCTTCATTATAAGTTTTGTCTAGCAATGCTCCATTTGCTGAAGCATCAACCACCATGAGAGTATGAATATTCAACCCATTATAAAACATCTCCATTTATCTTCAATGGGGAAAACCATGCATAGGACACTTTCACAATAACTCCCTAAATCACTCACAAGCTTCATATAAGTTCTCATCTTCAATTTGGTTGAATGAGGTAAGATAATTCCTCAGCTTCGCGTTAATATTTGGAAATTTTTTTGCTAATTCATTCCAGGATGATATAACACCAGGTGGTAGTGAGTTAAGCCATGCTCTAGCTTTTTCACGCAGTGGGTAAAGGAATAACTTCAGCTTTAAGGCTTATTCAGGAATTCCTTGCTGAACAAATAAATAACACACCTCCATGAATGATCTGAGGTTTGCTCTTGGACCTTCGGTGAATGAACCATTATATTATCCTATGGATTGTAGCATCTGGAACATCACCAGTTTCAGTTCAAAGTTCGCAGCCCAGATTGTTGGTCACATAATTCCAGGGTGTAAATCATCCAGCGTTGACACAACACTTTCCCTAATGGATCGATTTTGATTATCCATATTGAAATGTTGTTGTTCTGATCCAATGTTATTTGGAAATTCTTCGTCTTCAACATGCGTGGTGGCTGCAGAGCATTGTGACCTCTTTCAGCCATGTTCGCTTGATTTGGAATAGCTTCTCTACTTCGATGATGAAATGTAAGTTCAATCTTAGGATCTAATGGCAATATTTTGTTGTCTATATCAGTCATAAAACACGTACTACACTAATAAAAATAAGTACTTACAAAAGAAAAGAAACAAGTCAGTAAATAAAAACAAAAACTCTAATGCAAACAGTTGCTCCTGACAAAGGTGCCAAAAATTGATGCTATTGATAGCATAATACGTGAGCATAAGTGTCGTTCAAATAATAAAATGGACACAATAAATTGTATTGAGTATCAAATCCCATAAAGAGCAAAGAGTGTACAAAAGAGTTTTATCAAATACTAATAGAAATATGATTGAAAGAGTGAAGAAAAAGTCAAAAACAAGATAATGAAATCAAGAGAATAAATTTCTAGCAATTACTATAGCATTTATGAGAAAAGAAAGTCATTTATCGAATGGTCTAGGATCAAAGTTGGTTGATTATATTACACTAATGTGATAAACTCTACTTTTATATGTCTAGCATATATTAATTATACTTAATCAACAATAATTAACTTTCATTAACTCAAGTAATCAAATTATTAACTAAGATAGAAGTTTACAACACGATTCTCAATATGCAAGATTGATTCAATTCAAGAACCAAATCTGATAAAAAATGGTATGAATCATCAAAAACATCAATTTTTAAATATAATCAACTATTCATACATGAAGATGATAATATCTCTAAAATTATCTTGAAAGTTCAACAACATATAAGCATAAAATAATAAAAACATACACAAACCACTAAGTTCATTACCAATATTCATCCATAAGATAATAAACTTCTTAGACTAATATTATTTCCCCATCTCATCTAAAAAACAGAAGTGAAGGAAGGTGATCCACTTTGACTACTGATGCTATTCAACATGCTCCCTTGTGTTACAGAGTTTCCTGACGATGAGTTTAAGCTACCTTGGTGAGAGAATTTGTGGAAGATATTTGTAGAGTGGAGTGTAGAAAATATGATATGAAATGAACAAATGGCCCTCCTATTTATAAGTGAAGGGAACAATAACTTCTCCAATGGATCTGCTCTACGTCTCAAGTGCTGAATGGAGTGCATTATAGTTGTCCTAGCCAGCTGTCCCATTCTAAAACATTCTGCCAAATACCTGTTGACTTATCACTTGTTGTAGCCTAGGCTTTAATGGTTCAACAGTTTTATACCCTTTTCCAACAATAAAACTCAAAATCATCCCAAGACAACCAAATTCCAATCTATGCAATATGTATGCAAATATGACTAAATTAATCCTAAAATGCTTTTAATCTTGCTTAAGTTCAAACTTAACCTTGGTATAATTGATTGATATGATAACTCTTTTAGAGAGTTATCAAAGGTGTATGGTGTATGGGTACATATTCATTTGCATAATATTCAGACTTGTATTATTACTGTTTGAATTGGACTATGAATACTTATGTTGAATCGAATTATGTTTTGACTTGTAATATGAGATTTGTGACTAATGTACTTTAAAGACACACTAAGCTTCATAGCTTAAATGCCCATTGTTTTTATTTCAGATAATCATATTTAGGTGATTCGGTACTTGTCGAATCACATTATTTATTTAGAGAAAACTATTATTTTCAGTATGATTTTTATTCGACTTTTCTTCCATCAGACTTCTGTTTATATTTTGGAATTGTTATATTTGTAAATGAGACTTTGGACATTACTATTAATATTAAAACTGATTATGCATATACTTCTATATATTTATTGTTTATATTAGATTTTTCTTGGATAAATGTTTTCTAATAAAATATTGAATTTTAAAATTGAAAAATGTTTCTATGTTTTAAATGGTAATTTTTAAGTTTTAAATCAAACACAGATTTTGTGAGGGATAAGTTTCAACATGACTCTCTAGATCTGATTTTTTTTGGGTCTAGTAAAAGAAGTTATAAATTCATCTTCGTGGTAGTGGGATATGTTATAGTACACCCAAAGGCCAATCATGAGATTATTATAATTGTAATGACAAAAACTAAGGTAATTTAATGAATAGTTGATATATGTAGTGGAATATGGGCATAATAGAATTGGATTTAGGGCCCAAATGGTGGACCCAAAGGATGAAACTAAAATTTGAATAAAAGGGAAGGAATATATTTCTTTAATCGTCTTATATGTTGTGATTTGATGATTCCATTTTACCGAGGGAGGAAGGAGAAACTTCTCAAGCTAAAGGGAAGGAGAAAGCTTGAAGAAATAGCAAAGAGCTTCATATTTAGCAACTAAAGCTAAGGTAATGTATTTATATTCTTAAAGTACCCATATGAACCAAAATTTTTATACTTGTGAGTTACAAGCATGTTTATGTGAATAGTTCTGTGGGTTTCGTTTTGGATAGAGATAATTGTTTTGATGTTGTAAATGAGGACTATGTATGTATAGATAACCCTAGTAGACATTAGTAGCATTAAAGGAGTAAACAAACCTAATTGGTATATTTAGAAAGGGTTTGTTTGTAACCCCCACACTGATGCGGATAACCCGATTTGATCTGGAGTGTCACATTATGGCCACTGAAGCGACCCACAGTAAAAATAACGGAAAATTTAAAACTTTTCTTAAAAAATGTAAAATCATAAAATTATTTATTATTACTAAAAAATAAAACAGGTGTTTCAAACTCAGATATAAAACAAAATACAATCTACATGCCCTTAATCACATGTACCATCATCTGAAAGCAACGCCAGAAGAACTCCCTTATTGATGTCAACAGTTGCACCGATACAATTCTTTTAACCTGCCACGGTGAGTAATAGAGTGAGCTTCGGAAATCTCAGAAACACAGGACTACCATATGATGCTACATAACATGCAAATAAATGGAAAGCCATACAATTTCCTTATTGAATCATATGTATACCAGTTTGCAGAATAATCTGAGGATCCCTTAATACATCATCCAGTAGAAGCCATAAAGAACACATTTCATAGGAAGTATTCATAATATCACATTTTATGAGGTCGAATAGGATGTCTAGTGTGTTCCATCAGTACGATAAAATCAAAATATGTACACTAATCAAATGATAGTTCAGTAAATCTTATAAACCATACTGTAATGGAGCTTTTTAAACTCATATTTTAAAACCATCATATAAAGAGTTAACCTAAGGGAACATCTTAGTGCCTGAGTGCCTACCCAAGAAAGTTTGGGGCCACGGGACCTACCTAAGAACACATCTTAGGGCCGCGGGGCCTACCTGAGAATGATCTCAGGGCCACCGAGCCTACCTAAGAGTCACATTAGATCCTTAAAAATTTTCCAGCTTGATTAGAGCTGTATTTTACAAATATATATCTCAAAAATACAATTTATACTGTGATATAAATCCATAAGTCATCACCATTAAGATGGTGCATCCATAAAACAGTAACCATAAATTTCAGTGTACCTCATGTTAAAACAATAAAACAATTTATTAAAATATAAGGAACACACTAGAGAAATCCTAATATTTATCAGAGGTATTTTGTAGTCATCAGTATGGATAACATGAACTTGTGCAATTTGATCAAATTCCAGGAATAAGATCTTATTGAAGAGAATCAGTTACTAATCGATCTAAACAGACATTTAAGGTTAATATTTTAGAATCCCACTATGTTTTCATGTGCATCCAGAATAACATGAGTGATTTGAATCGAAAAAGAAGAAACGAATATTCAGGGCAATTACCATCCATGACAATCGATCAGATTATCGAACAACTTGAGCTGAATAACTTTCAGAACTGATGCCTGTCGATTTGTCAATTCATTGCCCTTCCTGGTATTCACTCTATAATACCAACAATTCTTGTCCATAAATCATCTTCATAATCATCGTTAAATATACTTAAGGAATCGAACATGCATCCTTATAATCTTTATTTTATTTCCACATTACAACAATATCAAGAATTGATGACGTATTTGATTCTTAGTTTATAACCATAGGGACCGTACATCATACAAGTTTATTGTATTTCCAGACTCATCCAATTACTTATTAAATTCTCCGTCATTAAGGTTCTTTGGTTCATTTAGCAATTAATGCTATCTCGGTTACTTCAGAGTTTTCCAGAGTAATTCAGACACTTCTGAGTTTCGGATACATGTTGTACTTCTGTTCAATTCACTTTGGTCATATACTAAAATCATTTTTGTATTCGTGATTGATTTATCTCACTAATATCCACTTCTTAATATCACATGCGCTCTATCGTTGAGTTGAGCAGAGTACCATAATTATTATCAATCCAAACTTGAGGAGACAAACTATCATTCAAGTGGTATTTATGCCATTCAAGTACTAATATAGCACTAGCACTGTTTGACCGGCTTAAATTGTGTTTCATAACATTAAAGAGCAGTGCAACATCCATGTTTATTTGAATTTCTTTTTTATACCAAGATATTTACTTAGTATAGACCATAAGGCATTTTGGTCATTTTGGTGCTCAATGTTTTTCCATTCCTTTCAAAG